CGGAGCTTCCAGCAGGAACAACTTTGGTTCTCAAGGATTCCCATCGACTCCATCCACTCAATACGGAACTCCTTCCAACAACGGACATTTCGCTCAATCCAACAACTTCGGCGCTCAAGCCCCATCCACTCAATACGGTGCTCCAACCAAGAACTTCGGTGGTCAATCCAACATTCCTTCAGGACAATACGGAGCTCCTTCCGGTCAATACGGAGCCCCAACTAAATACCAATCCGCTGAAGCCGGTGCTGCCATCCTTCGTTTCAACAACCAAAACCAAGGAGATGGATCATACAAATTCGAGTAAATTTACCTGAAATTTCATCCAACTTTTATTATAATTAACAAACATTCTTTCTAGATTCGAAACTGAAAACAAAATCTCGCAGCAAGAAGCCGGTGAATTGAAGAACGACGGATCTCAAGAAGGAGCTCAATCTGTTGAAGGATCTTACTCGTACATGGGTGATGATGGTAAAACTTACACCGTCCACTACGTAGCCGACGAAAACGGTTTCCGTCCAGTCGGTGATCACATCGCCGAAGAAATCCAAACTTTGGCTAAGAACGCTGCACAAACTTCGTCCCAAGGATACAACGGAAACGCTCAAGCTTCTTACTACAATGGTCCATCTTCTCAGCAATTCCAATCTGGTCCAGCCAAACCCAGCTTCAACCAACAATCTGGATATCAATATTAAAAAATAATTAACAATTATGTAAATGTAGACAACAAAATATTTAATTGAAATAAATTATCATTATTTTTCTATAAATTGTTCGATTTATTTATTTATAAAATAATTACTTTTCTAAAAATGTAACTATAACAATTATTTAAATTATAGTTAAACAATTAAAATTAACATTTGCTTTATAGTAAAGAAGATCATTAATAAAATTATTAAACAGAACTTAACACGTTGACGGACAGTAGAAACAAGTGAAATTCGAAAATTGACACTATATGTTTTTGTAATTTTTAGAATATTAGAAGTATAGTTTTACTCTTTCTGCTTAAATACACTTAATTTTGATTAATTCAGCACCTTTAATTAGGTTGCGGCTACAACCGTCATGGCGCCAGCGGACTCTAGACACTATGTAATGGGACGATGGCGGCTATGTCACATAGTGAACTGTAACTTGACGGCTATAGACGCAACTGTCCGTCAACGTGTTAATAATGCAATATATTTACATTTTATGTATCAATCTTTAATTTTCTTTAGCAAACAATCTTCTCGTATTTACAATTTCAAATTAATTAAGTTTAATATCGTAGCAAACATTAATTATCTTTTAGTAATTAGACAATTATTTGCAAAATATTATATGCATGCCTTCTGTATTACTTAAAAATGTAAACTTTGCGTATTAAAATAAA